TGGGGGGTGTGTGTGTGTGTGTGTGTGTGTGTGTGTGTGTGTGTGTGTGTGTGTGTCTGAAAAGAGAGAGTTAACTTAATGAACTGGCTCACAAAACTTTGGGTGTGGGCAAGTCCAAAATCGGTAGAGTAGGCCAGTAGGCTGGAGACCCAGGGAAGAGGTCCAGTTCCAGTTCAAGGGCAGTTCACTGGCCCAATTCCTTCCTGCTTAGGGAGGTCAGTCTTTGTTTTCGTCAGGCCTTCAGCCGGATGGTCCACTCACATTCTGGAGGGTAACCTGCTTAACTCAAAGTGTACTGCCTTAAGTGTTAACCTCATCTAAAAAAATACCTTCACAGAAACATCTAGAATAGTTGGCACATGAAATGAACCGTCACAGGAAGTTATGTTCTATTTTGTGCTAGTAATCCCATTTGTAAAATCACTTGCCTCCCACATCACACAAATTCATTTCAACAACCCACAAAAACCCATCTGTCCCTCTGAGGAAAAGGAAGATAATAGGGCATTATTATTCCCTGACTACTCTATGAGATGTGCCCCAACCTGAGTTTATTCACTCTCACAATCCATAGCACATTGTCAAACTTCTGGACCAAAATATAATAGAAGCAAAGGCATGCACAGGTCTTTATGTCTTTTTAGTGGCTGTTCAAGAGGTTCTCAGCTATATGTCTCTACATCAAGGAAGGGATACTTTCATGAAAAATATTTGTGCTAAAAAACGTTTCTCCGGCCCCTGACGTCTTGAAATAACCGAGTGATGGCCAGAACTGTCCCCTTTTCCCAGGGCTATTTTAAAGTTCACGTGCAGGTTGAAGAATGAACAACAGACGTCGCAGACGATGTGATGAGACACAACCATGAAAGCGTGCTGCTGCCAGGCTGTGTGGGGGCGGCGAGGGGTCATGAGACACCAAATGTAAAGCTGAGAGGATGTGCATGAAACGTCTCCTGCCCACTCTCCCAGGTCTTTCTCCACCCTCTCCCTCCTGCTCTGTAGAGGATATAATTTTCATAGCGTGGTAGAGAAGAACATGAACGTTGGGCTTTGGATGTATGGCGGCTCTTGGATAAAGCCCCTAGCGACTGGTTGTGTTCAGCCAGTGGGGAGCAATGGCGAGAGACGGAAGGAAGGAGAAGAGGGAGGCTCTGATCTGAGGCTTCTTCCCTGAGAGGCCGCAGCGCTCAGCTGACTCCTAGTTCCGGCCATGGCCCCTCTTCCCGCCCCTTGAGACCCAGGGTTGTGATTGCCCCTCGTGGCTGTCCCTGGGGTCCTGCACCATCCTCTGGGGATGCCCTCTGCCCTGTCCGCAACTCACGAACAGCAAACTCTCTTAGAATGGGTGCCGTGGAAATCCTCAACTACGAATCCCATAGTTAACTGTCTTGCAGATTCCGTAACTGAACAAATACCTCCACAAATCCATAGCCCAACATGAATGTTCTCTACTAGGTCATGAGAATTAAATAATCCACAGGGTTTCCCTTTTTACCCGAGTTTCAAGAAAACTCTGCTAAATCCGGTGAACACTGTCAGTAATTAAATTAATTGCGTATCCCCAGGAACAACAATTTCTGTGCTTCTTGAAATATTTTTTAAAACGATTTTCATTCTTTTTGTGCCACTGTCTTTTCCACTCTTTCTCATATGCGAGTCATCTAAGTCCTTTTGGGAATAAGGAGAAAATACATCCCAATAAACATTTCAATATAAAATTTAGGCCCGGGTCAGCAAAGGACCAAGAAACCCAATTTTATAAGGGTCCACTTGAAAATAAGCCCAAGATCCAAGAAGCAAAAAGTCAGGAGGAAAGAGGGGTCCCACCCCACAGGTGCCTGGGTCTGGGCGGCCAATGCGTCCACCGAAGCAACCCCAGCCCTGGGCAGTCGTTTCTGCTTCCTCAGTTTCCCAGGGGGCTTGACAGACACGTGAGCACAGCACAGACTTACTCTGGGTGTGGGACTCCCGTCCTGGTCAGCAAGGTCAGCACAAAAAACATAAAAACCACGAAGACGGCGAGACCAACCCAAAATCCAATCACAATGGAATCTGTAAGACAGTTAAAACTGGTATTAGTATTTCAGAAGAGTTTAAGACGTGGACATTCAAGGAAGCAGAGCCTCTTGGAGAGGCTCTGGTACATGATACAGGAGAGGAAATCAACAATCTGATCCACAGGGGCCAGGGGACCGATAAGACTTCCAGAAGGAGGGAGAGGGCGGAGTCTGCGTGGCCTCTGGGGTTCTGTCTGGGCAACAGGAAGTGATCTGACCCTTCTTGAGTCTTGATTTCCATATCTCAATGAAGGAAGAATCGCCAGGAATGAATGTTGTTTCCATATCTCGTAGGAACCTAGCAAAGAATGTAGGTCAGCTGGGTCCTCAAATGCCCACTAAAGTGTTTCGAGTTAGAAAACACAGTTTCTAGCAGAGACCGCCATCTTAAGTTTAAAATGCACTGATTCCAACTGTTGTAAGAAAAGCTTTAGACATATTACATTTAACAGATTGAGCAAGAAAAAAGACGAAAAGGCAATTGTTGAATCGGGCAGCCCTCAGAACCAGAACAGATTCAGAGAGACACTGAGGCTGCCTCATGGTTGGCTAAGATTTCAGGACAGAAAAAGGAAAGAGAAGCACAGAAAACGAAGGAGAGGTGCAGCAACAGCCGGACTGGCTGCAGCTGGGTGTTTGCTTATTTGAACACGGCTTGACCAGTCGGCCGCCTGCGAGTGGCTGGAGGACGGCCACTAGGGTCGGCTGAGCCTCGCTGTAGTTACAGACGCCGACTCCCGGTTCGTCTGCAGTCTGCTCGCTTCCTAGGTTAGTAAATAGGAACTCAGCTGGGTGCGTAGGGTGGCCTTCTCGGGCCACATGCCAGCTTAGCAGCCCCATGAGGCAGCAACTCCATTCAGTTAGCAACCCAGTTTTGCATCTTCCGTTCCGGTCATGATCGGATGAGTCAGGCCCTCACTAATTCCCGCACTCAAATGGCCTCCAGCGTGCTCTCCCTGCCTTCGGCCTCTCCCTGGGCTGCATCTATGGAGAAACCTGCTTCCACGGCTCCCATGGTATGGCTCCTTTATGAAACACTCTCCAACAAAAATAAAGCTGACGTGCGTTTCCAGATTAAAAGAGGTTCACAGGTAAAGCTCTTCATACAATATCTGCCATCTAAGACGCAGGTACCCGCAGGTGCCAGCTATTCTCATTAGAATGATCAACTTCTGATTTGCCCTTACTTTAAAACCCATGTGCTTCCAATCAAACTAGGGGACACTGTGTCCCTATACTTACCTTAACTCGTAGCCATAGCATCTTCCTCACAGCAACCCTTCAAAGGGGCTCTTACCTCTGCCTGGCAGGAACAACTTCCTCCAACTGGGAGCTCATAAAAGTGTATCCATCCTTCACAGTTTCTGCTTCACAAAGTCTCAATTCATTTCCCTAACTGATGGGCTCTCTCCCTCCCTGTCTGTGCTTCTCTAAGCAGGCCTTTCTTTGTTCTCATCATGAGTAACAATCCTGAGAGTGTTTACCTCCAGGACAGGACTTGATTTGATTCGATTCGATTGTCTACAGAACCTGGCACAAACACAGTAGCATCTCAAATCTGGGGGACAACACAGTTAAATCACTCTATATGCTGCGATCTAGATGAAGATGCTGATCTATGTGGGGATACAGGAAGGATGCTTAGCAATTTTCTAAAACTAAATGATTGGACTTTAAACACTAAATATATTTAAAGGCAAAGCATTATTCTAATTACATTATGTATACGCAGCACTTAAAAGTGAAGAAATAAAGTTAGCAATTTACTTTGCAAAGTTCATACTTACATCCTGCATATACTATCACCTAGAGGCTAACAATGTTCATTCAGCGCTCTGCAAAACTTTCCCAGGATCTTACCCTTAAGTGCCAAAGAAAGAGAAATTGTAGACTTTTTTCCTTTTAACTTGGCATTTAAAAAAAGAAATGATAGACTTTGCCTTTTAATATAGTGGAAGTGAGGCATAAAAAAGACATAAGGACAAGTACCAAAAAGCATATGTCCTCAAGTGCAATGAACATAAAACAATAAAATCTCAATTATCTGGGCACGGACTGTGAAGAAACATTGTACAGATAAATAACAGCTCTGCACACTGTGCTTGATCAACTGCCTGCATAGCAAAAACAAATTCTAAAATTACCGCCCCAATGTTATATTTAAGTCCTCAATTCTGAATTTAGTCACGTCGATTGACATTTTTCAGATCTGCTTGCTAGGAAGGTGTTCCCGGGAGGACAGCTTTCATGCTGCAGATGGTGGACTGATTCTCAGAGGTGCAGGAGCCAGTGCCTGTGTCCCAATCTAGCCCAGCCCCTCCCCCTCGCCCTTCTAGTGCCCCAGGGAGCCGATAAAAAAGCAGCAGCAATAAAGTGGGGTGCAGGAGGGCCACGGCCCTCGGAGAAGTCACGGGGAGGCAGGGCTGTGGGCCCAGCTGTGGTCAGAACTTGAGAGTCCCAGGATCCAACAGCACGTCCCAAGAGTTCCCTGATAGCGTGGCATCTACGATCCCATGGCTGTGTATTTCAGTAGTTCTGCTTATGTACATTCTCCTTTGCGCAAAATTCTGCTGCCTCAGATATCCCCACTACCTTCCCCCAGCCTCATCCTCTGCCCTGTGACACTCGACCCCAGAGCATGTTCTGACCTTCAGCCCCTTATAAGGAACACAGAGATCGCCACCTCATCCCAGGAATATCCAAACTCTCCTGGAGTTTTAGTTTCATGCTCAGTTTCATGGGCATTCAGTAAGTCTGGAAAGCAGAGCCTGGTCTTCCCAAAATCACCCTTTCACTGGGAAGAGTCAGACAGACAGACTGCGGCTCTAATGAGGCCAGGCGGTAAGTCAAGCGAAAAGAAGCCTTCTGGAGGAGCTCCTGCCAGAGCCCACAGCCTCCCTCGGTGCTGCCTGACCACTGAGCTACAGGGACTACGATTGCAAGGAGGTAGAACACACTGCCCAGGGGAATTCCAATGGAAGGTCATCATAAAACAATTCCTCTCAGCCTGACCTTCAACGAATGAAAGGGAACGAGAAAGTGGAAAGCCAGCCGGGCTCGGTGGCTCAGCCTGTCATCCCGTGCCTTTGGGAGGCTGAGGTGAGTGGGTTGCCTGAGCCCGCGGGTTCGAGACCCGCCTGGGCAGCGAGACCTCATGTCTACAATAAATCAAAAAATCAGCCGGGCGTGGTAGCGTGCGCCTGTAATTCCGGCTACTGGGAAGGCTGAGGCGGAAGGATCGCCGGAGCCCAGCAGGTCGAGGCTGCAGTGGCCGGGAGTGGCCACTACACTCCAGTCTGGGCGACAGTGAGACTCCAACTCAAAAAAAAAAAAAAAAAAAAGAAAGTGGAAAGCCGACAGGATGTTTTTCCTTTCCCATCCAGCGTAGGACTAGAGCCACTACCCCGTCCCACTCTCCACCTCCTAAGAATAAAGGGTGATCTTTCCATTTTGTGGTTCTGTGAAACACAAGGCTAATCATTCGCTTGAAAACAAGGGTTCAGGACACTGTCCTCATATCGCTTCTGGTTCTTAATGTGGTAGGTCAGTTTGTGGTGTGAATTCTTGGCAAGGAGCCGACAGTGATGATCCCACACTTGTCTCTACTGTGCATCGATGATACATGTTATTCGAGCCTTTGCCATCTCTAGCTCTGCTTCTCATCTTGATGACCCAGCTCCTTGCTGACTCATGCATGCATCTGGGGTCTACAAGTTGGCTCAGGGAAAAAGCACACAATTTGGCCACCAACCGATGGTTCAGAATAAGAACATGCTCCCTCGACCTTTCCACAACGCGTCAGTCAGCCTAGGGCCATACCAGTCTGCACACGCCCGATCTCGTCTCCATGCAGCAGCCAGAGTAGCACTGCTAAAATGCAAGTGTCCGCTCATTGACTCGTAGCTTTTTGCTTCTGCAGCTCTGGGTACACCTTGTCTTACCCAGCCACACTCTTCACAAATGGCCCATTTCTCTTTCCCTTTATGGCAAGACTCTTGAGAGGTTTGAATGTAAGTACTGTCCCCAATCTCCTCTCATTTTCTCTTGAACCAATTCCATTAGCCTTTTGCTCCCTGGGTGCCATGCTGGCCTCCTTGTTGTTCCCTGCATGCTCCAGTTCACTCTTGCCATGGAGCCTTCTCTGGGATGTTCTTCCCCCAGATATTTTATAGCTCAAGCTCTCATTTCTTTCAGGTCTTTTCTCAAATCTCTCCTTCCATGGCCACTCTATTATTTATACTTCTCCCTGTACACTCCATTATCCCATTATATTTGCCCTTTTTATTGCCATCGGATACAGTTCATTTATTTAATTGATTTATTGCTTGTTTCTCCCACTAGAATGCAAGTTCTATGGGAAGACATATTTTTGTCTTTTCAGTTCACTATTGTATCATTATTGTGCTTAAAATAGTGCTAAATGTAACAGGTGCTCAATAAATACATGCTGAATGAATGAATAAATAAATTTCCACTCTTGGTACCAAATATATGCCACTTACAGGCCCACTTCTGAAACATATGGTTTAATATTAGAGTCAAAACTGAGGGCAAAGGAGAATTCATAATGACCATCAGAGGTGGCTTTTCAGATGAAAGAGTCTTTACATGTAGGAATCTTAATTTTAGCAGACAGAGGACCTTAGTCTAACTAAAGATGTAGCTACTATTGCCAAGCAGATCCTTTAAAGGAAAAGTAAATGAAAATAACCATTATGGTCATTCCTGTTCCCATAGATGCCCCCCGTGAGATGTCCTTCTGTTATTTTGAACCTGCACCTAACTGGCTTTGTATCTGCCCAGCAGAACAAGGAGCCACACCTGAAGGACAGAATCACAGCACTTTGAAACGGAAGGGACTGTACCAGAGTGCACATCACAAAAGTTGGCTTAATCTTTTCACTTTCCTGTAATATTGGGGGTTTTGTCTGTTTGTTTGTTTTTTGTTCCCTGCATATATTGTCAGGTTCCTCTACTTTAATAAAAATAAAACAGCAGGTACTCACTTGGGCCTTTTTGTTTTTCCTGATGGCAATATTAAAGCTAATAAAAGCAATCCTTAGTATTGTTATAGCAGGTAAAGTAAGTACTGAGTCAGCATCTCTGCCTAGGTTTTGCAGGATGTTTTTCTAGTGATAATCACTTCTAGAGTGCTCAAAAAATATTTTCCTCAGCTGCCTCTGGAAACGTACCAAACAAAATCACAGCAGCAGGTCTCTCTTCTGGGCTACTTAAACTAAGGAAAAGATACAGGAGCAAACTGACACAAAAATAAAGTTGATGTCACCAAGCTGTAAAGGCCCACATAACAGAGAAATTTATGGCAATTTGCCCAGTCATTTTGATTTTCACTATAATTCAGAACAAGCAAGTGTCTCTACATAAAGGTTATCCCAGAAAAACAACTGATGAAAGAATTTAAGTAAATTAAGGAGGGTGTTTTCACACCCAGACCTCAACAGCCTCCTATTGGATAATTAGTGACAGCACACCCCAATGGATTCCAAGGGCTTTTCTATTATCCTAACAAAGAAATACTGAGCAAATGTCAATAAAGGAACGAGTGAAAGCATTTAATTACTACTATTCCCTTAAGAAGTAAAGGACGTGTGGTTCAGTTAATGACTTTTGCTTAAGGAACAAAAATGAAAAGCCCTCTTGCAAGGGAGCACCCATTTGGTGCGAGGAATCATAAATGCCAAGACAGGTCAGAGTAGAAGCAGTCAGGAAGTAAAGGAACAAAGCATTTCCTTTGCTATATTTGTGTGTCTGATGCTAATCATTCTTATATTTCCTGATGTGTCCCACGAGTCTGGACCATTTTTAAGAACCTAAAAATTTTACAATGCTGTGGATATTCATCCTGAAACAACTGCACGTTTCAGGGATATTTATGGGGTAACTAAGGCAGGACTTGGGCCTGGACAGCAGTTTCTGCCTACTTTGTCAACTCTCCTTAGTGAAACAAGGATACTTCATGCTGGCCAGTCAGCATTCAGTTAAGTCTGGGTTTGAATAGTAACCTTTCACAGAATTACATTTCCTTGCTCTGTGCTGGGTCATTAATCATTCCAATAACACGAGCCACCATTCATGCCCAAAACACTAAGTTAGAAATGATCACAGTCTATTCTTGTCCATCATTAGGAACACCACAGACAGATAGATCTCTTCAGAAAACCAAATGGGTCAAAAGCATGCTGCTGGCTATGTTACAAAAGAAGGTTCTTCAAATAATATATCCAGATTATATTTGTGTACACATTTTTGGTAGCTCAAACATTTTTTAATATTTTTATTTTTTTTTAATGTTTTTTTTTAATCTCAATCTAAGATCGACACTGACTCACTTGGATAAAATAAAATGAAGATGTTAAAAAATATAAAAATGTAAATAAAATTCACATCCCCCTACTAAAGGAAAACTGTAAGTCCTTCAACAGTCAGAATCACCGAGCCCCTCACGTGACACCAGCCCTGAGCAATCCGCCCATGTGTGGAGGGCTTTTGGGGGTAGAGGCGGAGTTCTGTAAGAAGATAGAATGTTCAGGATAAGTAATCACTGGGACTTCACAGGTTAACATGAAGACATATTGTATTTATGTATAAAACTTACATAAATTGGAATTGTATAAAACTTACATTTATGAGCCTTCAGTCCTTCAAAGGAAACCGGTCCGATCTCATAATACTCATATTCCCAGGTGTAATCAGAATTTGAGGCAGATGGCTGGGAGGTTCTGTTAGAAATTAACCTCTGGGTAGACATCTCCCCTGCACAAACGGAGAAAGGCAAGTGCAGAAGCTGTCAGTTCATCCACTGCACAGTCGCGCTAATTACTGTTGACGACATTCAAGAGCTCAGTGGCAAAGTCCTCAAGGAGGTCCCACCCACGGTGCCAGGGAGAGAGTCTCACCAGCAGCCCAGACCTCATACCATGTGGCCACTGTTTCCTTCCATCTCTCCAGTAGACTGGAATATATATTTGGAACGAGATGCCAAACACCTTTTGTGAACGTAACCCCACGCCTGGCTCAGAGCCAACACTCACTGCCTGATGGGGGAAAGAAGGGAAGGAGGGAGCGACCAGGTCAAACTCCTCGCGCTCACGACTTCAGCCTCACCACCCAGAGCTGCTTATGGAAAGAGCCTACAGAGAATAAATAAAGCCAGGAGCAGAAGTGAACGTCTGAGCACCTACTATGCAACCATGAAGATGTGTAACCCAAGTCTAACGGAACATAGTACACAAAAAAGAAGCAGACAACAAAAGTTGCGTGATGGGAGAAGATATTCAACAGAAATCCACAACTTGCCCACTTACTCCCGAAATTGATCCTATTTTCAGGATTTCCCAAGGATCTTCTTTGTTGACTGTGAGTATTAGCCTAGAAAATTCTTACTTCTCTGGGCCAAGATGCTGCACTGGGCCTCACACATGCCGAAAGTGACAAGTCAATGCAGCTGTGTTCAATCACTATATTGAGCATCTACTATGGGCAAGACACTACACTATAAGGTCGGCAGAGACGCCTGAGACACCGAAAAGTACCCCTCAGACCTTCTCTTATAACAGAGAAAAGGAGACACACTGACAAATAACAGTAACACAAGGGAAAGCTTGAATGATACACCAGCCAAAGCCGAGATTCACCAAGCAGTCACCGCCACTGGGACCTGTCCTGAAGTGCCCCTCCTCCCACACTTCCAGGTCAGAATCACCCACGGTCACCTCTGAGGCACAACCCCCAGGGAAGCTGAGGCAAAATCGCAACCACCCTTCCACCCCAAGGCATACGTCTCACCTTCCCCTCGTGCCTTTGTTCTCGTCCCCAGACACAGGCCAAAGAAAGAGACACCGAGCCCATGTCAGCACACTGTCCAAAGACGAATGCTCTGATCCAGAGAGGAAAGCCAGGATCAGGGGTATGACTCCGAGGACCCAGCCAGACAAGCCATTTCTTCAAAGGTAGAAAAGAATATGCCTACTCCCATTTGAGGAAGAAAGCTACACAACTTATAAGAAAAGCTGACCTTTACTTTAAGTAAGCACTCAGTTACCTTTCTAATGCCAGCGTAAAAATAACACAAAACCATTACCACAGTATCCTCTTTGGCCTTTTCATTATTTGAACAAGAGGTTATTTTCCTCGACGACGAAATAAATTTCCTCACAAAATGGAAATGAACAACTCAGAGCCAAGTAGCCCTATCCTCATTTATGAGCACTTCCTCCAGAAGAAAAGAATTGAGAGAGAGAAAGAGAGGAGCAGCTCTTCAGTTGTGGGGTTCAGAGGTACATCGCAGATGAGGAGAAACACAATTTCCATTTGAGAATGTTAAGAACTTCACCCCAGGAGAAAAGGGCACTGGATTTGGAGTCAGAGAAGGCCAGGACCTGAATCTTGTTCTCCCTCCGCCTGTTATGTGCCAGGCAGACACTTAACCCTCCCAGTCATGTTCTCCTCACTAGCAGAACTGACCACCATGCCTGCCGGCGAACACTGTTGACAGGAGATGGTTCTGGCTGTGGCCAACCCCATATGGGCAATCCCCTAATGGGCAACCCCACGACCCACCGGGCTCACTCCTCGGCCTCCAAACTGGTTTATCTGCTTCCACTCTTAACAATCCCTGGGATCCACACTCATTAGCCAGTGATCTTTTTTTTTTTTTCTTTTTGAGTTGGAGTCTCACTCTTAACAATCCCTGGGATCCACACTCATTAGCCAGTGATCTTTTAAAAAGAAAGACAAGGCCGGGCTCGGTGGCTCAGCCTGTCGTCCCAGCACTTTGGGAGGCCGAGGCGAGTGAAGCGCCTGAGCCCAAGGGTTTGAGACCAACCCGAGTCCGAGGGTTCGAGACACACCTCGGCAACTAGGCGAGACCTCATCTCTTCGATCCATCAAAAACAAAAAACAAAACAAAACAAAAAAACTGCACTTGTCACGCCTTGGCTTTACACTTTTTTTTTTTTTTGAGTTGGAGTCTCACTCTGTCACCCTGGCTGGAGTGCAGTGGCATGCTCACGGCCACCGTAGCCTCAACCTGCTGGGCTCAGGCGTTCCTTCCGCCTCAGTCTTCCAAGTAGCTGGAATTACAGGCACACACCACCACACCTGGCTAATTTTTTGATTTATTGTAGAGATGAGGTCTTGCCAAGTTGCCCAGGCTGGTCTCGAACCAGGCAATCCTCTCATCTCGGCCTCCCAAAGTGCTGGCATTATAGGCGTGAGCCACCGCGCCCAGGCGGCTTAACACTTTTAATTACTTCCCACGGTCAGGACAAAGTCCAAATCCTTCAAATATCCTATAAGGTCATGACATGGGCCCCAGTGTCTCCTCTTATCGAGTCATTCTGCCTCTTACCCTGCCTGATGGTAACGCTTTTCCAACAGTTCCTCAAGCACTTTTTGCCCCCTGCCACCTGCACACTGTGGCATGAATGGTTCTTTCTACCGCCCCATGCCAACCCTTCCCTTCTCTCTGCATTCTCTCATCAGCTGGATCGGGGCTTGGCATATCTGGTCACCACCTGTGTTCTTAGCCTGCAAAAGAAGAACGCTTTTTACATTTTTCAATCACTGGGGGGAAAAATCAAAAGGATATTTATGACATAAGAAAATATCTATGAAATTCAAATATCAACATCCATAAATAAAGTCTGATTTATTGATCAATCAGCTACCTGTTGGCTTTTTCTTTGGCTTCTTCAGCGTTAGAGTAACAGAGTTGAGTAGTTACGACAGAGAAGTTACGGCCCCAAACGCCTAAAATATTTACATTCTGGTCTTTTATGGAAAAAGTTTGCCAACCCCTGATCTAGAGCCATGAAGAAAAAGAAAAAGGATATGAGCTTCAGTTTGCACACTAGGAAAATGAAGATAATGGTATCTACCTCACAGAGTTCCTGTAAAGATTAAATGTGATGTTACATTAAAAGTTAATAGCCAAGACCCAAGTTAAGATCAATAGATAGTAGCCAGCTAATAACAGACATTATTAGCTAAGAAATGCTGGTCTTGGACAGAAAAGCCCAGGTTTGTTCTTCAGACGCCATCAGCTCCCCGGTCAGCCAATTCTTATTAAATTCATCATGTGGTCAATCGATCTATGTATGCTAGATAAATAAATTATAATAAAATAACTTGAAAACATTCAGTTAGATCACTTAAAAGTTACAACGATTAACATTTACATCTTAGGATTCATGCAGTTCTACCAACACAAAAATGAAACAATAATCTTTCTCTCCTTTTTAAGGAAAATAAGATGAAGTCTGGTTTGATCATATCATTTTATTGGAAACCAACATCACAGCTAACGTAACAAGCAGAACAGAAGGAGGCCCTAGGCTTCATCTAGAACAGGAAAAGAATGAAAAGTACCTAAAACAATGCAGAAGATAAAGACAGAGACGCCATCCATTCTCGGTCTCAGCAGCGCACCACAGATCCCAGAGTTGTTCTCCCAGGACCACATGGTGGGGACCCCCACCAGCAGCTGCCAAGGCCCACAGGAGCAACCAGTCTCCCTACTATCCTCTTGTGTCAAAAAGAAGCAGCAACACCCCCCAGTCAGGAACTAGCGAATAAAACACATCTGAGTAAGAGCCAGCTGTCAGGAAACATCGACCACCCACCCCCATGGAGACTGTATTCATTTGCGGCTTCTTTTTTCCTCTCTTACACAATTCCCTTTCATATAAGGGATCGATCGCCAAAGGATGTTACCAAAGGGTGAAGAAGTTACACGTGCAAGCGTCCTGACCGTGGCAAAGCCCGTTAAGAGAGCAGCAAAGTCCCGAGGAAGCCCTGGAGACAAGAGTGAGCCTATCTGAGGTTCTCCAGGGATGCAAAACAAAAGGAGACAGCCCACTCGCCCCCAGCAGCCACCAGCGTGGTAGCCTTCGCATAAAAGGAGGGGCTGCTGTTTTCACTGGCTCTTTCCTCTCCGTGCTCGAATCCCAGAGAAGGTGTGGAGGACAGAACCTCTGGTTTCTCCTTCAGAGCAGTCACCCGGTGCCCTTGCAGCAATCTTTTCTCACCCAGGTCTCAGATGCATCAGCGTAGGCCATCAGATGCACGAGGATGGGTTGCAACCGCAGGCTGTGCTAAGGCAGTCTTTTTTAATCTTCTCTGTTAACCAAAGCCCGGGGGTGGCTCTCTGAGCTTTGCCAAAACATAAGCCAGACTGTTTCATTACTTGGAAACTGTAAGCATGTCTGGGTGGCAGCTCCCCCCCTCCAAGTCTGATAATCCTGCCACAGTGAGGATCATCTGGTACCAAGGCAGCTTCTCCCGCATGAACACAACAAACTGGAAGCAGTGGCTCTGCAGGCAGCCACCCTCCTCAGCACGATCCTCCCCTGCCCAGATTTTCTTAACGTCAGATTTCTTCATAATATCAGAATCATTAAAAATAACTTCTTCGGTGGTGCCTAAACAAGCTTCCAGGAGCATCAGAGAGAGAGACGTTGCTCTTTTGAGCAGCTGAAAGCGCCATTGTCAACAAAAGAAAAAATGAAAATTATGACTGTACTTCAACGTTCCCCCTGAAAAAAATTTACCTTTTCCAGGTGTGCACAGGGTAGTGCGGGCCAGGCCAACTATTGGGGGCCAGAGGGGGAGACTGCAAACCCAGACAGAGCCTCAGACACCTCTCCCTAATCCATCAGCCCTCCCACCCACATTCCCATCACTTTCCTCCCTTCTCGTCACGATCCACGCCCCCTTCTCCAGCCCAGGTTCCCACACCAGTCCCGGGCACTCAC